AAAAATATACATCATAGCAAAGATTCACGAATAAAGGGGGTGAGAACAAAACTCGTAAATCTTTATGCTGCATAAATACTCATGAAGGTAATTTTTCGCCAAACTAACGACCTGTTCCCATGTGATGGATTGCACCATTTTCGTCGCTAGCAAAGTTACTCAAATATCAGGACATGGGTGGCGGACAGCATCCTCGTTCCACTTCACCACATCCTCACGAAATAAAAAGTTTGTGCCAACTTTGGAAACCGAAGCAGGAAGATGGTAACATGGTGGGAGCCAGATATATTAACTCTGAAAACTGCTCCCTGTGCAGGAGTGAGCTGATGAAAAAAAAGGGAAGTTCGAAAGAAAGCGATGAAAAGCAAGGAAGTGGTGGATAAAAAAGTGAGCAGAAGCTACACTTGCTTCTGGTGAAAATTACGCAGTTCAAAACGAAATATAGATCTTGATTCATAAAGTGAAATAAATAGTGATCAACTTACGTGTCACTAACGTCAACACTGGACAATGCTTGCGACACCATTTGCACCAAAACTGGGTCAGATGTATCCAGAAGAGACTTCATGGTTGTCGCATCACAAACAGAAGGCAGCTTTGACTTATTCATGTTTTCACTCGCGAATGGCACGGTTTTCACATCTGAACCATTTGCGATAAAGTTGTACATCAGCAAAAAAAATGCAAAAATAATTAATGACCCACATGATGTATAAAAATGTGTTGCGACGAGAGTTAAAGCCTGTCCAGCTTGAACTTGCTTCACACGTTCTCTCATCTCATTCAGAGCCTTAATGAAAATCATTCTCGAGACGATGTTGTTATATACATACTGCGTCACTGCTTACAAAAAGTCGAGCTCAAGAATGAGAATACTGCTTGAAATGCAAGGCTAGCGATCGAAAAAATGGCGGCCACAAAAACAATTACCTGCTGGGCCTCTTGTTGTTTCCTCAATTGCTCCTCTCTAACCTTCCTAAGCTCTTCAATTTTCCGCCGTTCAGCTTCCTCTTGACGCCGCTTCTCTTCGGCAATTCTTCTTTCTTCTTCCTAAACTCAGTCGATCCATTTTTATGAAAAACTACAAGAGAAAGTGAAGAATGCAATAGAACACAGCTCCAAAAACTAGAAAATAACAGGGATTTATAGATAGGCACCTGTTTCTTCAGAAGCTCCTGCTGTTCTTTTTCTCGCTGTGCTTGCAGTTCACGCTGACGTTGCTGCTCTTCGGCTTCCTGGAAGAGGTATGTTAATGCTAGTGGCACAGCAGCGCGATCTTCGAATTTCGACAACAAAGCATTACTGTGGAGTGTGATGGATCAGAACAAGTAGCCTAAATCCTACATAGAAGAGCGGTCTGTGCTGTTGCTTATTGCTAATTAACCCATAGTGAAGTTAAGGTACAAGAAGCGCCCAAGGGAAAATTTTTAATTTTAAGGAAAAAAGTAAAAGATCGAGAAAAAATACTTCACACCCGGAAAATGATTTTTACTGCGTCCTTTTCTTGCAAGATTTGAACCTCTTATCTATTTATAAAATTTACCGACAAAACAAACTACCGATAAATGCTGTTTTGCATATTCTGCACGTACTTTCCACAGCAGAAAAAAACATAATTACACATGAAAGAGTACCTTGATTCGCTGCTGCCGCAGCAATTCTTCCTGCTGCTGTCGTTGTTGTTGCTGACGCGCGAGTTCAATCTGGCGTTGCTGCTCTTCCAAAAGTCGTTGCTGATGGTTATGCTAAACGAGTCTGACTAAACAAGGTAACTGGATTGAATGGTCACAACTATTACATTATACATTAGGACAGCGAAAGTTGAAACCACAACGTTTGCTGATTCCGTAAAACTACAGATAACCTTGGAATCTGAACAAATCCCGGAACCCTGGACCATAATTCTGGTGATCTCACTATAGATCTACACACAAGTTTCTCCTATTGATTAATTTTGGGCTCAGGGTAAATAGCGCGCTTCCCGCCATTTTTAAATTTAGCAGACTGCAACCAATGACATATGCACAGCAAACGAATATATTTCGCCGTACCACCATGCGACGAATGAAAAACGAACCGAAAGGAAAAAATTGAAACATGTGAACGACTTGTTTTCAACAACTATTTTTCTGAATCATAAAAAAAGCCCTTGAAGTGTCGCCCAGCATCGGACGGCATTCCTCTCCTCAGGCTAGGCGATATCCTCCCCATCAAGTTAAAAGAAAGCCACTAATTCGAAGGTATATAACAGCTATAGAAGAAGAGATAACCAACAAGAGCTTGTTGCTGCTGGACTTGCTGCTGTTGAGAAAACCGTTGTTGGGTTTGTTGTTGGCTCAGGAGCTGCTGTTGCAAAACCTGAAAATCAGGCGTGCAAAATTACAAGTGGAAACAGGTGAAGACGATAGAAAACAACAGTTTACCTGTTGTTGTTGCTGTTGCTGTTGAAAGACTGGTTGCATTTGTTGCGATTGCATCATGAACAGTTGTTGTTGTTGTTGAAATGGATCCATGGACAACATCTGAGACAAAAATTACATACAGAATTGTCGTCCAAGAAAACACTAAATTCTACCTGATTATTGCCATAGAACGAATTAAAACTGTTCATATACTGCTGTTGGGCAAGCAACATCTGAAACGCTCATCCAATTACATAAAACACGGTTCAAATGT